TTTTTTCCATGAATTTCATTTTTACATGTGAGGCTTGTATACTTGGGTTGTGTGCATGGTACGTGAGATTTTACCAAACTAACCCTAACCCAAAAACACAGCTACTTAACATGATGATTACATTCTGACTATATCCTCAGTCTGCAAAGAAATCTTAAACACTTCATTGATTTTTGTTGCATTTAAAATTGTGTTCCTACCTTGTATAGTATGCTTTTTACTTTGAATTTGATGCTAACTAGGAAAAGTAGTAAACTGTGAGGAGGATAGTAGCAGACTGCAAGAGGACATAGACAGACTGGTAAAATGGTTAGGCCTCAGCTAGAGTATTGACTTCAGTTCTGGACACCACACTTTAGGAAGGCATTGGAGAGAGTGCAAAGGAGATTGACCAGGATGGTACAAGGAATGAGGGACTTCAGTTATCAGGAGGCTAGAGAAGCGAGGATTATTCTCCTTGGAGCAGAGAAGGTTAAGAGGAGACTTAATAGAAGTTTCCAAATGATGAGGGGATTCGATAGGGTGAACAAGGAGAAACTATTTCCACTGGCGGGTGGGTTGGTAACCCGCAGACACCGATTTAAAATATTTGCTAAAAGAAACAGAGGGGAGTTGAGGAGAAATGTTTTCACATAGCGAGTTGTTGGGATCTGGAATGCATTGTCTGAAAGGCTGATGGAAGCCAATTCGATAACAACTTTTAAGAGAGAAGTAGATACTTATTTGAGGAGGACAAGTTTGCAGGGCTCTGGGGAGAGAGCGGGGGAGTGAGATTGACTTGGATAGCTCTTTTCAAAGAGCCGACACAGATATGATGGGCTGAATGGCCTCCTTCTGTGCTGTATAGTTCTGTGATTCTATGATAACTAGATACTGGTAGGAATCTATATGCATTCTTTCTCCCCCCTCCCTCCCAAAAAAAATCAACTGTGGAATAGCAAAACAAGATATTGATGCAGTTATTGGTAATTGTGCAGTGCTACAGTATACCCGAATAATAATCACAGTAACGTGCCTACATTGTTATTTCATATACACTGAACTGTATAATTGTGAATTCTGGTGGTATGAAATGGGGACTAATCCCTGAAATTTGCTTAACTTTGGAAATGGATTAATTATGTGTTCTACTTGTGTTTTGCTCACATCTAGAATTGAAGTTTTTGAAGTTATTGTAAGAGTGGAAAAAGCTGAGAACATCTGTGTGAACAGGTGACGGTGTTAAGTTAATCTGTGACACATGAAAGAATAGGTGTCTTTACAAGTGAATGTGCAGGGCTAAATTGTCACGGTTGTTAGGTATAGTTTAGCTAGAGTGCTGTATTCAGCCACGGTTACTCTTAGAGGACAATCATGGATTTTATTTTTACCTCAATAAAGGAGGTTGATTTATGGTGACATTGGTTTGGATTTTCAGAGCAGTGGGAACTATCAGAAAGTTAGAACACAAAATGTAACTCTCAAGTCACTTCATGGACTCAGTGTAGTACAGCGTAGCTTTTGTTGATGCTCATTCTGTGGTATCTGTTATGTGGTATAAATCGTGGTATAAATTCGACACCCCAGAATATTGTACAATCACTTATGGTGAATTTAAGTGAGGGTAACAGTTAGAGATATAATTCAAAGATGTGCTTTGAGAAGTACAATGAAGTATGAAAACTGTTGCAAAGCCAAAGCGTGAAGATATTGGATTAGTTAGATGATCAAAATGTTCTTTAATTTAGTGATTTAGTGCTTTTTAATTAAAGTAGACTAATCACTTTAGTGCTTTTTAATTACAGTAATAAGATTAATGATGGATGTAACTTGCACTGTGACTGGATCCAGCAAGCTTTTCTCCTGACTTTCTTATTGCCCTGCCTGCTTGCTGCACATTGAGTCGTCCTGACACAACTTCTGCTCACCGTGTGTGTGACCAGCTTCTTTGTTTCAAATCCCAGTGTTTTTGTTTCACACGAATAGCATGATGGTTGTTTCATACACAAACAAAAAATCCCTAGCAATCCCTGATAATCAGCCATGGGAGTGCAGGCAGAAGATGAATCTGACTGCACAACAGGTTGAGTTGAATTGCTGGTACCTCAAAGTAGACTTTGTCAGAATTTTGTTGCCTGTGGACCCATAGTATACACTTAGTGTAAGCAGTTTTGTGTTAAATAGAAAGTTTAGTTGTCTTACATAGTTAATAATAATCCTTGCATTTGATATAGCGCTTTTCACGTCGGGAGGACGTCCCAAAGCACTTCACAGAACACTGTAAAGTGAATTGACTGCATATTTGTGGGCGAACGCGGCAGCCAATTGCGCACAGCAATGTCCCACAAACAGTCGTGGATTGAAAATGACCAATTTATTATTGTTTTGTTTTTTTGGAGGGATTATTATTGTCGAGATGTCGAGAAGACGTGAAAAAAGCTATATCAAATGCAAGGATTATTATTATTAAATGACAGAGGGAATAGAATATGGTGGAGAATTGTGAATTTATATATATATATAAAAAATATTGAATCAACAAACCTTGAGACAGTGTCCGTAACATTAACTGGAACACGTAAATGACCTATCACTGAAATTCTAATTCGAAAGAGTTACACTGAGAAAGGTGCTAAACTGTTCCAGATGTTACCAGGTGTAAGTTGCTGTTTGATGCGATTTGGTCATTCGGATGACCAGTTTCCTTGTCCTCCCAGTACCAGCTTCATCCTGACTATAACCATCTGGTCCTCTGGCCAGGCAGCTGCTGAACGTGTAGCAGCAGGTAGCCTGTGAATGACCATATGCTGACCCCATACTTGCCACTTCATTCAGGCCAGGGAGTGGACTTTCAGCCCATTAGGGAAATGAGTTTATAAATGGGAGAGGGTATTGTGTCAACTAACACCTTATAAAGATGTAACCACTGTTCAGAACACCACTTTTTGGACATCAGACTGCTCCAGTCATATCCCACAATGACATTGAGATGAATGGCCAATTCAATTGGATTTTTTTGATAAGGGAGGACTATTAGCCAGGAGAAGTTGGATAAATATTAAAACTTATATTTTTATACAATTTAGATTTAATTAAGGTGGGGGATGAGACCTACTGCTTAGAATTCTATATACAGGAACGTTTATCTACATAATTATTTCACTATGATTCAGCACCAGTCATCACATAAAAAATAATGTGCATTCCATTTTGATGCATATTGCTTAGATTTTCAACAGAATTATTCATGGATATGATCTGGTTACAGCAATCTATTCAAATCACACATGTTTCATTGGTACATTTAAACTGTATTGAAATGATTTTTATAAATTGGTTAGAAATTAGAATCTGGTTTATTTGAACAACTATTAAGAATTTGTATTTTAATTCCAATTAAAAAAAAAAAACAATTTGGCCATTAAAGACTTGAAAGGAAGTTTGAAAAGTATTTTGTGTTCTAATGACTCTCCCCAGTTTTAAAAAAAAGTACCATACTTATCAGTAGTTATTTAAACCTTCAGCAAGATATCTATGTGTTCAGTCAATTGAAGGGATTCCCATCTTACTATGCTGTCTGGAGACATCACATACATGAAGGAGCTGCATGCTTCTTGGAGTGACTCCATTTATTTTAACTGGGATAAGCCTGGGGGTTGATCTAAAGCAATTGCCTCAGTAAAATAAATGGAGTTTCTCTGGGATACACACAACCCCTCCTTATTAGTGGAATCCCATAACCTGTTGCAGGTTGCTGTTGTTTGTACACCTCTTATTAGTATTGCTGGAGGATTGGGAGCCTGTAACCGTTTTGATGCAGGAGGTGTGCTTCTCAGTAAAACCAGCTTTTGGGGTGAGGGAAAAATAATGAATGCAAGTTCTTAAAAAATCTGACCCAATGAAATGTTCAATAAGCCAGGTATATAGACTAGCTCAACAGTGAAGATCACTAGCAGCCAAACAGCAGTAGAGTGTTAATTATCTAAGATTAATTGTGGCTTCTGGTGTGGTTTATTAGTAAATATTTAATGGTCAACTCATTAAGAGATGTTTAATTTGGTAAATGTGAAACTGTCAAATTAAATAACTTTCTCTGCATTTTCAACAATACTGCTATTTTAGCAGGCAGGTAAGTCGCATAAATATCTTTATTTAGATTTAAACAGACTTTTTGAAGCTTGAAGTGATGACCCATTCTCTGTTTGTTATCAAAATGGCTTGATCATGTTATTGGTAGTTGAGCAGTAACAAGCTCATCAGTATTTAACATGAGAAGATTTACATATCAAATACATTGTTCTCAATCTGACATCGGACAAACATTAAACTAATTAAAGAAATGTTAAGCCTCCAAGGCTAACTAAACATTTTGGCTGATTACTCAACTTGACAACAGATCAGTACAGACCAGAGATAAAACCTGAGACGCCCTATCTAGTCTGTACAATTTAGCGCTCCGGGACTCTACCGTGCGTGAGGGCACTGGGTGGTGCCTTAATCTAGGAGTTAGCGGGATGCTGTTTGGAATTTTGCAATGAAAAATTAAATCTTCACAATAACATTTTACCACACCAAAGCCTATGGTTGCATCCTTGGCTCAGCTAAATCGGCTTTCTACTCCAGGAGCATCCTGGAGGCCAAAGAGAAACATGGGACCCTCTTCTTCCTCACCAAGTATCTCCTCAGCTCGCTCATCTTCACCTGTAACTCCAATGCAAAGAGGTGATGGACTCAAGTCCAAAATTGAACAGATTTGCTCAGCAGCCTCCACCTCCGACACCTCATTCCCCATAGATGGAACTTGCTCCCTGACCCCATAAGACCTTTTGTGCTTTTGGTCACCTTCTCCCCACCCACCCCCTGACCTCCCAACATGAAAGAACCTATATAAATGTAAACTTGTCGCTACTATATTAAAGTTAGCTACTGTTCTGTGTTGATAGTCAACATCTTATTATGCTGTATATAAATTTTCCTGTTTGTCTTTATAGATACAGATGTGCGGCAGTTGGATTCCTCATCAGTGCTTCAAATGAACTCACTGAATAGTAAGTACACTTCTAGCAAAAGGTGTTGGAATATTCATGCTACTTTTTGGGATATGATCAGATATGCATTTGTGTTCTTTCCATTCTCCTGACCTCCCACGTGTTCAATATGTAATGGAATTATTGATTATTATAAGATTACTGAGGTTTATTTCTAACGTATTTGTCTGTCTTGAGCATTTCATGTTCTCTTATTCTCCAGTGGAATTTTACATACCAGTTTGTTTTAATGGTCTCTCAGACGATCTCAGTTGCAGTTCTTTGCAACCCAATCTGATCCCTTCAACCTTACCTGATCCCTTGGTTGAGTTAAATACATTTAAGTCGTGACCCCTGTTAATCTCATTGCAGCGAACAATGAGAGAGGCTCAATTTGACAACACGCAAAATGCGGGTTTGGAGCACCGAGCTATGATGATGATGACCTGATCCGTTGGGAGCAAATGAGTTGCACAGATTAACCGTGACATGTTACTTTAAAATTTTAGGGCAAGTTTCATGTATTCTAAGTATATGCGGATGAAGCGTTTGGTATGTCATGATTTTTGAAAATTTCCTAGTTTAAGTGCTCAAAAGAATTATGATATTTTGGTCATATGTCAGAAAATGTTGTGCATAATTCACTGAATCGTATACTGAAGGAAAGGTTCTCACAAAAATAAATCTCAGACCATCTGTAAATACCTGTAAATCTGACACCTTTTAGGTTTTGATAAAATGCTTAATCCAGGTTTCTTCTTGTATTGTACTCCACCTCCATCTAGTGGACAAAACTGCATGTGCAGCCATCTGGTATGCAGCAAGAATCAGGCCATTAGGTGGCAGCAACAAAAAGCAAATGTATGCAGGTCGTCCTTTTCATCTAATGGTCAAAATACAGAAAGGTTACATTTCTACTACTTTCACACATTTAACGCACCTCAAATGCATCCTCCCATGGCCACTCCCTTTGCTGAGCAAGCATCAGTCCTCACTTTCCCACTCTTTCCATCCACCATTGGTGCATGAGCACCCACTCCTGCTGCTGCTTCTGAGAATTCCATCCTGGATTTTTTNCCACCTAAAACCTTTAAGGTTTAGCTTCTCCACCTTAAAACCTCTCTCTTTAACCTGCTTTCAGCCACCCAGAATTAATGGTTAGAGTTTAAAGGCCTTTGTCGAAGTGTGGGCAAATGCTCACCCTCCAAAATGGTTTAACTGTTGAGTTCCGTGGGCCAGAGAGGCAGGTCAGATCTGAGAAGAGGTCAACGAGAGAGAGACCGATTGCTTATTTGTGTCCTATATCTCAAAGAAAAGTACTGTTTTCCAAAGCACCAACCATCAGTAAAACCTTAAGTTTTTATTGCGTCGATCAATCAACCAATCAATGCCTTTTAAGTATTTGGAATTAAAAGCTTATTTTTTCACCAGAAAAGAAAATGGTGAGGTCATTGGTATGTCAGTCCCTTATTTTGCTGAGACTAAAAAGTGATGCGGGTGTTTTATTGTTGGTATGAGTTTATCTGAGTTTGATTTGTCTACTGATGTTAATGATACACGCTGCAGAATAGGCTTTGAAGGAGTGACGCTGGGTGTAGCTGAAATTGTAGTGACAGAGGCAACTGAGGACATTTTAATAGAGATAAGCCAGACACGATTGAAAATATACAACAGATACTATATCATATGCAAAGATTATTATAATTTGAACAGCATTTATGAGCTTCATTAATTAGTCCATTCGTCCGACCCATCCAATTTACATTGATTCCTTTTATACATCCATCTCTAAATCTAATTACTGAATCATTTTAGTTGACAGGAATTGCCGAGTTCTGAGATGTTATCATGTGTTAAGGGCACTATATAAATGCAGGTTTCTTGTTCTATCATCTGTCCTTGTAGCTTGTCCGTTTTAAGTATCTTTTAGACATTTAAATAAAGAAAATTCTCCTGCATTTCCTATTTCTTCTTTTAGTTTGAGGATGTGACTTAACTTGGTTTGCGTTTCTTTATATAAATATATATATATAAGTCACGACAGTGTGATAAGACACTATATCAGATGCAAGAATTATTATCATTAATACCATCCTGTTTAAGGTTCTGCATAGAAATGATGTTTGAATTCAAATAGCTAAAATGTGTCAACATTGAACACTGCTATTAAAATGTATAAAACATTTGTCTTAAACATCAAATTGCAAATGCTCTAGATCCATGCTATATTTGCATTGGTAAATTGAGACAACTCCCACAGTTGTTCAGTACAAAATAGACAAGTATTGCTAAGTTATAGTCTCTAGAAATCTTCACTTCACAATGGTCTCATGGAAGAATTTTTATAAAATTAATGTTTCATTTGAACTCTTGTACCCCCAGGGAAAAAAAATCAGTAGAACGATTTGCAATGGATATGTTAGCTTGTTGTGAAAGAAACTCCACTGTGCTTTGACATGGTTATGGATTAAAATCTTAAAAACTTTGTAGTCTATCATCTTCCATTGATGTTGTATTTTATTTCATGATCTAAATATGCTTCAGAGTGCCCAAAGCCAGTTCAAAAGTGACATTCTGGGTTAAAATTATATTGATACACAGCTGCTAGCACTGCAAATCTATTTTGTTGCATTATTTGTCTTTTTATCCTCTGGTTTCTCCCCTTATGTACTTGGCTCATTGCTTGATTACTCCATTTCAACCTGTTCTTTCTCTCATTAACCTTTGCTTCCTTTTCATTCTCAAAAACATTTCTTTCAGTTTGGAAATAAACAGTACTGAAACCTTAGTCTGGATAAGATTGAAAACATATCATCAGATGCATAAGGAAAGAAATTCAGATGAAGGTTTAAGGTGGTATTTAAAATTGAAATCTGAGTTATATTTTGGTAAACTGACTATCTTTCTGAATAAGGCAATATTATCAAAGTGTGCTTATTGTTTCCGAGCAAGTAGTTACTTAAGCAAACCTGTGCTTCGGAAAGAAATCAGTATTTCAGTTGTGCACAAAATGGTGATTTTGGGGCTGCAGTTTGCATTCACTGATCAGTGAGTTGCTCAAAAATTAAAAACCCACCGACAGCAATGAATGTTTATTGCAACCTTTTGATACAAGTGTTGGATTTTGTTCTGCTGCTCTTCTGATAATGAATCTTCCAGTAGGCCCATTTACACTGTTGGTGTGTTTTGAGAAGTATCTGGATGAAAACAAGATCCTAATAACTCTTTGAAAAAAATCTGATTTTATGAACATAGTAAGATGAAGCCTCATATTACAACAATGTTACTTATTAACTATTTGGTTCAATCAATATCTTGTAGACCTAAATTAACATGAGTTTCTACTTTCTGAAAAATTCCCATGCAGCAATTGGAATGTGTTAGCTCTTAGAATCCTCCACACTGCTGAAGTGGGCTGTGCTGGTAATTGCCTCTCTTATCAGATTTCACTGGTTTTAAACACACAATCTTTCCCAAATCTGTGCTGAACAGTGTCATGAAGCACAATTCACTTTCCCTATGCAGAAAAGGTACATATCTATTGATCAGATTGAAAATATTGGGCCATGCATTAGTCTGCAGTCCTTGTATAAATGCAGTCAGGCTTTTGGTATTTCAGATGTTCCTTCAATATCTTTATTGAAACATAGCACAATGTTATGAAAACCTGCCAGGGTTCTTCACATGTCAATTGGGATCAACTCCAGTGACTAGAGTCTTCAGTGACCTATGATATACAAACCACATCCTCAGGGATGTGGTTTGTATATGACAGGTTTACACTTCTGCCAAAATGTCCTTGGCCAAAACCCATACCAAATAGTGGCTGGCCTAAATGGGCTTTGCCCCTGAGGAAGACTGGGCCAGTTGCTGCCCGTTGCTGTAAGTTAACTCAGTAATTGCTAAAACCTAACGTTTGCCCCTATGATTCTCAATGTGATGGCCCGAAATACCTTTTTGCCAATTCAACTACTTGTTCATTGGTATTGGTAAAATGTAGTCAGCACATCAACACGCAGAAGAGAGAAGGGTACAGCACTGACTGCCATTGATCATTTTTGGATGGACTATTTTTGAGGGGTGCCTGTGCATGTCTTGAGTTTGGTCTCTGGCTCTTTCAAAGCTGCTTCAGAAATTTACAATTTCCAGTGGCAGAGTTTGCTTCAGGAACACCTCGTCTTCACTAGTATTGGTCGGCACAACCTACTTAGGCTGAAATCCAATGCAGTGCTAGACGGAGCGCAGTATTGTCAGAGGTACAGTCCATCGGTTGAGACATTGAACTGAGGTTCCGTCTGCCTGTTCAATGGACAGATTCCATAGCACTACTTGAAAGAGAGAGAATTTTTTCCCCTGGTGTCCTGCACAATAATCCCCCAGATAAAATTGGTCATTCACTTCCCAGTCATTAACTACCTCTATGTGCACAGAAAATGCTTTCTTGAGTTTGTTCTGAAATTGCCTTATTCAAGCCTGAGTGTACCCTTTTATCGTCCCGAAAGAAAACTTAGGAAGTGAAATCTATGAAGAAAATTCAATAAGGAATATACTGTTAAGAAGTTCTCTTATCTGCTTTGGCAAATTCTTCTCCAGATTTTCGAGCTTCAGTAGAACTCGAGTAGAAATTACTTTTGAAGCATGTTAGTGATGAACTCAAGGTACAGACAACGATCGATGGTTTAATCTGAAAAGCACAAACTCACCGACAGCGTTGAATGTTCACTGAAGCCACCAGAAAGCAAATACTGATTCACAGTACAGTATAACAGTTTCTCTCTGCAGAACCAAGTAAAACTGCTGAATTTATAGAGCCATTTTGCACACAGAAGAAATATTCTTTGAAATCAAAACTGTTCCATTTTATGTTCCTTAAAAATATACTGATTTTACTTTGTAAAATTTGCAAATATGTTAGATTTAAAAGACACGTGTTGATAGCATTAATACACACTGGACATTATCTGATTTTATCGTGCTAACATTGTCAAAATTGGAATTTCAGAATTTTAATAAAATTAATG